TGCTTCTTGTCACTCTTCCACAAGCGTCATTTAGACATTCATGCAATAAACTTCAGTCACTCACTCTAAGGAAGTGCTCTAAAACTATTGCCCAGCAAATGCAAAAGGCTCACATTGTCTCAGCACACTGGTATTAAGTCAATCACAATTAAGTACAATTAAATGCATCCCAGCTGTCAAATTTATTTAACTCTGTTCCGCTTTTAAAAGCAGCCATGTCTTTATTCTAACTGCGTTTTCCTTTCTCCTCAGTTTTTTTTTTCATTAACACAGACGTACAATTTGTACCTTTGGGCCAGAAATGTGGAAATACCCTTCAGAGTGATGTGCAAGCTGACAGAAATCATCTCTCGTCAGCATGTGTGCACGAGAGCGCAGTAACAGAGAACATGAAGGCAAAGCAGATGATTTGTTTTGACAGTGTTTTCCAGTAACTAAACAGGAAAGACATCTGAAAAACTAGACTGGTAAAGAAGTTTATCCGTCAGTATAGTGAGTAAAAACTGAAACAGTAGCAGACTTTGAAAGCTCTTTTGAATCAGACCTGGTTGCTTTATAATAGTTCTGCAGCCCACACACATTAATCAAGGTGAAAAGTGAACGCAGAGAATGGCCTAAAGTGTTGGTGGTGCACATTTGTACAAATAATTCCTCTAGAATCGTATTGCTGGAATAGTTTGTTACAGCATAGGTAAACAAACAAATCACAGGCTCACTGGTCTGGTGTAATCAGTGATTAGTAGTACTGTGGGACGTTTTATTGAGCAAATCATTTCCAAAGACCACAAGTGGTTCCAAACACTGGAAAACCAACAGTTGTTTTGTTTTTAAATGTGTTACTCAGACCCAAACGCTGATCTGCTTACTGCTGTTAGTTTCTCACCGGGTTGCAACTGCAGGTGGCAAATTGCTGATGGCATCCATGACAGTGTTTGTAAAAAGTCTAGAAACATTTGCAGGGATTCTTCGTTTACTTGCACGAGCTGCAGGATGTTGGTTGAATGTTGCTTGAATTTTGTACTTGCTCCATTTATGGTTATTTTTGGAAAGATCTGAACTGTGTGTGTCTTCTCAAACCCCCAGTGAGTCGCTCGCAGCTCATACTCAGCCCGGTTCTGTTGGAGGATTCTTCCTGTTAAAAGGGAGCTTTCCTCTCCACTGTCGCTACATGCTTGCTAAAGTTTTGACTGATATGTAAAGTTTTGCTTATCTTGAAGCACCTCATGATTTTTATCTTGAGAGGTGCTATATAATATATGGTTTTCTGTCTTTTCTGTATCCCTCACCTTTTTTGTGTAAAGAAATTATTTCCTTTCTCAGATTTTGTGACGTTTCTCTTCCATGTGGAGCCATTGTTGACGGCATGAAATGGGAAGGGCTTTTCTTTGTTAAGCAGTGCCCTTTTATAGTCACCTATCTGCTGGGCACCTCGTGAATGAATCATTAGACTCACCTGTGGTTGAATGCCTGTTGATTTGAATTTTGTAGTCCTAAGTGTTGCTTTTCTCCTAAGACTATAATTGCAACCTGGGCTTGAATGGATTAATTAGGAAAATCGCTTTTTTGTTTGTGCAAATTAAATCTTGTTTGCAATCAATGGCCCACATTTGTGGGAGAATTTTGTAGTTTGTTATCTCAGTGTTGATTCTGAAAGGAAACTAAAGGTTTTCTGACAAATGTGGTGGGGTGTACTCATTTATGCTGAGCACTGTGATTGATGAACACCTGACCTTTAAAGATCACGTTGCCTCTGTTGCTCGTTCATGCCGCTTTGCACTGTATAACATACGAAAGATCAGACCATGCCTAACACAACATGCCACCCAGCTCCTGGTGCAATCTACTGTCATCTCCCGCCTCGATTACTGCAATGCCCTTCTAACTGGTCTTCCAGGCTGTACTGTGAGACCTCTTCAAATGGTCCAGAACGCAGCGGCGCGTCTGGTCTTCAATCAGCCAAAAAGAGCACACGTCACCCCTCTGTTCATTGAGCTCCACTGGCTACCGCTAGCAGCACGCATCAAATTCAAATTGCTAACACTAGCATACAAAGTCCGAGATGGAACGGCTCCCATCTACCTGAATCCTCTTGCAAAGGCTTACGTCTCGGCCCGGCCGCTCCGGTCATCACAGGATCGTCGGCTAGCAGTGCCTACACCACACTCAGGACAATCCAGACTCTTCTCATGCATCGTTCCACAAATGTGGAATGACCTTCCAAGCACTACCAGAACTGCGGCTTCCTCTTCAATTTTCAAGAAACTCCTGAAGACCCTGCTCTTCAGAGAGCATCTTCTAAACTAGCACCCTCCCTGCACCCGTCCCCCCTCTCTACTGTCCACTCCTTGTTCCCTCCTCTCCATGACTGATGTCAAGTTGTTGTTGTTATTGTTAGCCTCAAGGGCAACATTCCGATTATCACTTGTAAGTCGCTTCGGACAAAAGCGTCTGCTAAATACATAAACATAATCACTGTATATGAAATGTCTCAATCATAACCAGAAGCACCAATTCAGTGCTATTCCTACTGCAACTTTTTCTAAATTCTTACACATTTTCTTTTTCTAAGAAGTCTTCCTCAGTGAGATAATGACTTCATAGTGAGATTTTGCTTATTTCTGTTCTCAAGCTTCTCCAGCATTTGGCGATTCTTTGATCCTTCCCTCTGGACGGACTATCAAAACATGACCGTCACACGGTTTTGATGAGATAAGGAGCTCAATTTCAGGCTCACCGCTAAGGTTAGATAAGTAGCAAGATCATAGAGCGTATGGGGGGGGGGGGGGTCTGTCCTGTGGTGCAGACTCAGTGGTCTTAAGACAGCATGGTGCTTGGTTGTAACAAAGACTAGACCTGTAGGCTGAGATCAGACGGATAAAAAAGGGGTTGGACAGTTTCACGTACACTTTAGTGAGTGACACGCTTGGATGAGCTCCCTTCACTGAGCATTAAGTACAATTAAGTGAAGGTACTATATTCCTCCCCCCTCACAATGGCTGTAAATCCACTTCATCTTTGTGGCCTCTTAAACTCACTATTGGTCCCCTGCTTCCTCAAATCCCTCCTCAAAATATATAATCTGTCCCTCTGAATAGAGTTAGCAGTGATTCCCTATATCAGACACTCTAGTGGGTAAGGACATGACCTTTACCAGCATTTTCAATTGACATTTTTATTCTCCTTGTTCTCAATCATTGAAGCATAAAGGGCTAGAGGGTGCCTCTTAATAAATTCAGTTGTCTGAATTATTCAGAATGGAAATGGCTGAACATCAAGGTGATCTCCGATACATCTTTGTCTTTTTCTAAAGAGGGGGCTTACTAAGACCACTCAGTTTCACATTCAGTCAAATGAAGTGTGGCTTCCCAGTCATTTATATGTGAAGAATAAGATTTTCTGCTCCTAAGAGGCTGATTATTGGAGTCTGATTGAAGTAACTGGTCTTTAACCTTGACAGGAAACTCTGTTGGATCACCGTTGCTTTTACGAAATAACACAAAGAGATGCTGCTAGAAGTTCTCCAACAAGCTTTTTAGGCATTTCTTCACACTATTGACTTATTTTTTCCTGCTTCCTTTTTAACTGTTCAGCTATTTCCTCACCTTCCAGAAGCACGTGCTCTACTTTCTTTGCTCCAGAGCAATACTTAAGAGTCCCGAAGTTTAAAGGTCTGTTGAGGTGAGACTGAGCTCATCTGACACATAAGATGGTATCTGCAGCTCCTGTAGGATTCGTTGGACCTGAAGGAATCTATCGTCACCTCACACGGCTTGCAGCCGGGGCCCCAAAGTTACTCTTGCCCATCATCACCTAACGTCATTGAGACCTGTCTCTGAGTTCAGTGGACTCAAGGATGTGCTTTAAGTCATGTTGTTTGCTGTCGGTGTGGCGTAGCTGATAAACCTTCTTGTCATAAGTCCAACTGAAGCAACATTTGTTTGTAGCTGCAGGTGCACAACCGAGTTATTATCCATTGTTATTTGACAGTTAAACTTTGTCAGCTTTTTTTTCTCCTACGTACTCGGTGGGTGGTAGATTTATCATTCTGTTGTGGAAAAAGACAAGAAAACGAAAGGGTTTCGAACAAAACCATATTTATCCATGATTCCTGTCTGATGAGGCTTCTGTCTGGGTCCTGTGTGTGAATTTGCAACTCAGTGTGTGTGCTTGTGTGCAGCAGGGTTTCTGCACATATTGCTGACAGGCATTAAAGTGCAAGGATTAGAAACAAAGAAGAGGGCAGGAGGAGCGGATGTGGGAAAAACGATGGCAGCATGGAGATTTGTCATGGTATATTTCCTTTGTGGTTTACTTATTTTTAATTAGATTATTTTTCTTGCAGCGGCTAGATCTGTGTGGTTTTTATTCTCCCTCCATTAACGACTTAGCTTCCTGCTCAGGTTTTGGTCGTGCCGTATGAGTTTTATCTCTGATAAATAGACCAACACGAGCAAATCAAAGCCTTCAAAACCCACTAATCTACTAATAACATACACTTTTCAGACCTGATGTGCTTCAGCAATCTGGCAGGGTGAGATTAGAGAACAGCTTTCTCTAGGTTAAGTTCAAATCCACTGCAGGTGGTTTTGAAGAGCTTGGGACTTGTCATTTCAGGGGTTGGGTGTAATTACATCTCTGTTTGTTCTGGATTTAATCGTAATCAGCTCAAATGTTCAAAACTGGCGCGGCCCATGCAGGTCCAATTTTTACCATAATCTCTTGCTGTGCCGTTATTGGCTTATCGTGGCTGTAATTAATGTAAAACCCCGTTTAATTTAGCCGTGTTTAGTAACTGTGTGGGCTTCTGACAGCCAGATGGAAGCTGAGGTTGACAATCAGTTAGTCGAGCAAGCTTTTGTTTCAGTTCAAAGTTAGCCTCTGAGGAGGTAAGCCACTATATCTAAAGCTAAACACAGAACTGGTTGGGAATCATTTCTGCAGCAAAGCTTGAAAAGATGAAGTTTTCCCACCTTGACATCTTGTTGTCTTTCACTTTGCAGTTATGTGGCTGCGGGCTGCTCGGTGTGGGTATCTGGCTCTCCGTGTCCCAGGGCAGCTTCGCCACCTTCTCACCCTCATTCCCTTCACTGTCAGCTGCCAATATGGTTATCGCTGTAGGCGCCATCGTCATGGTGACGGGCTTCCTTGGTTGCCTTGGTGCCATCAAGGAGAACAAGTGCCTGCTTCTAAGTGTAAGTTTGGTCTAAGTTTCTATACATGTCAACAGTGTTTTAGGACGGCATTTTTCTCACACTCATTAAACCCTGACATGTAGACAGAAATCTGGGGAAAATTGGAATTTTAATGTGGACATTCAAGTTTGGGTAATAGCTTTTATTTTTAGTAAAATTACAACTGAAATGTTTAAGCAAAGCAACTTTTTCACTGTTCGTGCATGTGTACACCACTAGTGTACGGTGCAGGAAAATTCGGAAAACTCACCTCAAAAATCCTTGAAAAATTGTATTATTGCTAAGGTGGAAGATCCTTATTAAGTAGTCAACCTATGATCTGTTTTATTTACCTTTATGGGAAAACAGAATAAGTATCACAAATTCACTTCTCTTTTAGCTCATTAACTGCCAATGACATGTTTTTACTGTGTGAGCGTCGGAACGAGCCCTCGCACCATAAGAACAAACATCCCAGCTCTAAAGCCGATCTTCATCCAGAGACGTCACACGTCACGTGGTCAGGAAGCAGAAAATCCATGTGTTAGGAGATCGTTTTGGGCCGCTGCTGTAAAAAAAAAGTGAGGCGCGAACCGGAAAAGCTTCTGCCGATCACAATTCAACAACGGATTATGAAAGAACGGATAACTCTAGAAACGCGCTGATTCTTCGTGATGTAAGAGGTGAGTCTCCGCTTTGTTTTGGTTGTTTTGGCGTCAACATCATCCTAGCGCTCAATGTTCTGTGGCTCTTAAAAAAACACTGGCAGCGAATGAGTTAAAGATGCTTTAGCGGATGTACAGAACATGCTAGGTGTGTTCCACGGTCATGATCAAGATTTTTGCATCAGCCCAGAGTTTCTTTGTTTTAATTGACAACAATTATTTACCTTCCTTTTTTGTTTCCTGTAAAGTGCTGCTTTTGGAGATTGGATGTTTCTCTTTGCCGGTGACAGACATCATTCTGATATTTTTGCTTGCAGCAGTAAATGATTGTGCAACTGCATTGTGAAGGAGGTTTAAAGCATTTCCTCCAAACAAGTTCACAACCCCATTACAGGCTGCCACAACAAGCTAATGAGCTATCAAGCAATATTTACAGCTGGAAAACTTTTGCCTAAATACAGCATTTTACAATTCCTATTAAAAAAGCTAACGTTCAGCTAAATGAAATTATGTTTCAGTACGGCAACACAAAACAAATTTTAATTAATAAAATCTCCCCATTTTTGAAAATGGTTCCCAATTTTAATTTTATTTATTTTAATAGTAAATGGTAAAAGTAAAATACTTGTATGTTAACATTTTAACATAAATAAATGCCTTCTTGTTATCTAAAGCTACTAAATAAGTTATATGAACTTTTATGAAACAATAATATTAGGGATGAGCGAGTACACCACTATCTGTATCTGTACTCGGAGTGGGCGTGGCCTAACCCGGAAGTGGGTGTAGTTTAACCAGAAGTGGGTGTGGTTTACATCAATAAATTATTTTAAGTCTGATCAGAAGTTGATATGTGTATTGTTTATGTGAAAACTATTTACAGAGCAGCCTCTGAGTTGAGATTAAATGTTTTTGATCACAATAGTAAAGGAACTATTACAAAACAAGTTTTTCAATAAAATCAGAACATTAATATTTAAGTGCATGAATTAAGAGAGAGAGAAGAAAAGATCTTTTCTATAGCGCCTCTCAAGATAAAAATCACAAGGCGCTTCACAAAAACAAAACATGTAAAATAGAAAAAAGAATTTAGAAAATGATTAAATATATATTTAAAATGAGCAAAAAATAGACAATTGTGATTAAAAAATGTAAAGAAAGAGAGGGAGTGAATAGGAAAGAGGGAGTGGATCCTGAAGAAGAGGAGAGAGAGAGGGAAAAAAAGCCCAACCGGAGCGGAGGCAATGACTGACGCAGCACGAGCCGTTTTCAGCTCTGTCTTGTCAAATGCACCACGTACGTTATGAAAAAAGGAACTTTAAATAACTTTAAAGTAACTTTAAAAAGAAGCTGACTGAAGAAAACATAGGGAGTACTGAAGAAACGTGAACAGTGAAGCAAGCACAGAGAGATCCGTTACTGTGTGTGCGTGTATGGACTGGACGCGGACTGAGCTGTGAGCTCCCGGCTGCAGAGTTTTGTGTGTAGGGAGAGGCGGGCACTCTATTTGACTGGCCAATCACAGAGCGTGAAGACAGTCAGTTACCCAATGAGGATTTTCCTTCAGCACGATTACAGATATTTACGAGTTTTACTCGTTTCATGCTCGTACTCGTCAAAAATGCTTTATCCGTACCGGATACTCGTCTGAAACGAGTATCTGGCTCATCCCTAAACAATATAATATAATATGATATGATATGATATAATATAATATAATATGATATGATATAATATAATATAATATAATATAAATATGCCTTGGGAAATTGAATTAAAATGTAAAAGACTGAGAATACAATAAATACAGGGATTTAATTTTGTTACTGTTTTTCTTGCAGTGAGGACATTTCAGTCAAATGTGAAAGTAATCCACTGTGTCTCATCTGCTCCACAAAAGAATTCTCATGTTTGGTCCTGCAGCCAGCAACTGAACATCTGGCGTCTTTTGCTCACATTTTAGTGTTAGTATAGTGGGGAGATAATGGAAGACTGCAGATGCTTCTTCTAATTCTAGCATTCTTTGAAGTTGTGCCAGACTAGCCGCTAGACGAGTATTTTGGAAAATGCATTACATAATGATGCAAACAAATGACGGATGAAAAGTGCTGGACTTCAAACAAGGCTTTCAGGCAGATGCATTGTTTTTTTATGGCAGACGATTTGAGCCTTGGATTTTGTAACTTTGCTCACTTTCTAAATTTTAGGAAAAGAACAAATTGCTCTATGATTTTGTAAATTAAAACATCAAAGTTCGCACCAGCAAAATGCTGCCAGTATCATTAATGCCTTTTTTTCTTAAAATGAACCAGTGCCATGGGTATTCTCACTTCTTCACTACCTTGAGTCTGCAGATCACTTTAAATAAAGCTGTCCTGCATGCAGCTTGATTGACTCTCAGTAATGTGACTCTGAGGGTTCATCCTGCAGCCTGGGAAACCAAAAAGTAACCACTGATGTGCAGTTGATGTTTTATGCAAGGTTATATTTGCTCATTTTTGCTTAAAAAAGAATATTATGCAAAACATTTGCATATTTGTTCTTTAGCTGAGATCTCAATGTAGGTACTGTGGGTGAGTTCAGTCTGGGTTGTGTGAAATCTCAGGGGCTCCCAAGAAAAAATGGAAATGTAGCTGAGCAATGGGATTCACTCACACCTACTTAAAATAGAAATCATAGCTTGTTCATTAGCATCATTCTAGTGTTTACAGTTTCTGTCATCCACTTGTGCAAAGTTGAAGGCTGCAGCAGTGGAGAAATTATTATATGAATCAGTAAACAGAGCTGCTGATTGACAGGATGCCCCAAAACCAGATGAGGAAAATTAGGGCAGTGATCCGTTAATAAACTCAAAAACTATTTCGTTTTAAACTAACAAGAGAATGCAACAAAAAAAAAAACATTAAAGAGGAGGTTCGCTGATTCGTCACTATGAGTTTCACACGCATGCTAAATGTGAAAATGACCTTTTACCCCTGTTTCCTGCATTAGCCACCAAAAGAAAATAGATGGGGAAGTGCTCGGGTGAGAAAAAGCCACACTGAGTCACGCTGTGAAGTTGGCATTCATGGACCCATCTGGGCTCCCAACAGGGAAGGCTGAGTTAATTTCACATCCCGGAGAGAGAAGAGCACGTCTGGGCTAGTAGAAGCTAACCGTTAGCATTATCAACTTCACAACATGTCAGAACTCCTTCAGGCTTGTGTCATTTGTGGAGGTAAAACATCAATGTTGCATCAATGAAGAGTGAACAGAGGCAGTGGAAGAGTTGCATTGCTGTTAACCAGTCAGAGGCGAAATGGGACGATGGTGGCAGAGGAGTTAGTTGCCCGTCTCAGTTGTTGTTTCCAAGACACTGAAACCACCCTGCCTGCTGGTGTTGGTTGAAGGGACCAGCTGTGCCAGTGTTCACCTACCTCACTTTAGGGTCAGTGTGGTAAATGGTAAATGGTAAATGGCCTGTATTTGATATAGCGCCTTCTAGAGTCCTAGAACCCCCCAAGGCGCTTTACAACACAATCAGTCATTCACACATTCACACACACATTCACACACTGGTGGGGATGAGCTACAATGTAGCCACAGTTGCCCTGGGGCACACTGACAGAGGCGAGGCTGCCGAGCAGTGGCGCCACCGGTCCCTCCGACCACCACCAGCAGGCAACGTGGGTTAAGTGTCTTGCCCAAGGACACGATGACAGCGACAGACTGAGCGGGACTCGAACCAGCAACCTTCCGATTACGGGGCGAGCACTTAACTCCTGTGCCACCGTCGCCCCAAGGCAGCTGTGGCTACATTGTAGCTCGTCACCACCAGCATGCGTGCGCTCGGTGGATGACTGGTTGTGCTTCCTGCTCCAGCACACCTGAAACAAATGATTTCTACTTTTCACTATAATGCCTTCTGCATAAACCTTTGAATTACTGATGTATTTGAAGCAAGGAAATGACTAAAATTATCAGGATGGTAGCCCTCAAGGAACAGAGTTGGTGACCCCTGCTTCAGACTTTCAAAATAAAATCAACTTATCCTGAAGAATTAATTAGTTCAGGTGTAAATAAATGATCTGGTGCATAATCTCTTTAGGCAATATGTGAAATATTTTCTCATCTGTGCAACTAAATAACATAAAACCAATGTCAAGCAGCCGTAGCTGGACGTTAAACCGTTGCTTTCTGAGGTTAATTAGAATCTGACTCATGAGAAATGTTGGTAAATGAGCACATGCTTAGACAGAGGTAAAAACATCATGGCCAGCTTCTCACCCTTAAGCCTGGTTTATGCTTCTCCGTCAGCTCCGCAAGGGACAGACACGCACGGATTGACGGAAGCGTTTTGCTCTCATACTTCTCCGTCTCCTGGGGAGTGTTGCAAAGCAATTCCCCGGCAGGACAACAGAGGGCGTAGCGCTGTTCTGTGGTATCCTGTCATGTATCGGTCCAAGATCGTGTGTTTATATTGTGTATTTTGTGTATATAAGAGACTTTTAACATGGACATATTTGTCTCTCATTCTCCCACCGCTTCATGCGCTCGCCACCTCTAAACCCACGTTTCCTGTCATTTCCGTCCACAAATAAAACGCTTGCTGCGTATCTTTTCACTCCTCCAGTCACGGGAGAATTAAACGTTCATGTTTTTAGAGTTTTTTTGCGAGGTATTCTTCAAGCTTCTCCGTGTCTGCCGCTAGTTAAACTCGGCTCTCTTTGCAATGGCGGCGCTGTAAACAACAGCGGCGTCCTGACCAATCACAAGCTTGCGTTATCCGTCTCGTTCGACGGATGTTTAAAAAAGTGGGCTCGACTCCGTACGTACTTGCGTGCCTGCCGGAGCCCTACGCAAGGGCGGATAATGGCGTTGCGTGTGCTCCGCACTGACGCAGACGGAGAAGCATAAATCAGGCTTTAGGCTGCAGGACTGTCTCAGACCTGCAAGAAGCAAGACATCAAGGAAACATGTCATAAAATATGTCAGCAAATTAATGCACCGTACGTATACAACATGCAATAAAAACACTCGATATCCATGAGCTTAATAATTATGAATGTTTCATTATTCATCACAAAGGCTACTCCGTCTTGATGTTCCACTTATTTTAAGCAAGAGTTACTTACGAAGGTTCAGCAATGGAAGGAGGTCTGTGTTGATTTTCAGCAAAAGGAGAAAAATGGAGAGCGAGAAACAAATGAAACCTCATGTACTGAAACTTTTGATGAGAACTAAAGTTGGGGCTCTGACTGCTTGCATTACAAACAGCTCAATCCCTTCAGATCTCTTGCATCAGTCAAAAGTCTCCTTAAATCCTCAGCATTTGACGTGGCTTCCTTCACCTGCCTTACAGCTGTAAAGCTGAGCGAGAAGAGCAGGGAGGGATGGGAAAGACCGGAAAAAGAAACATGCAGCATGTAAAAGGACTGATATTTTAATAGGGACTAGAAACGACACATTTTGTATGATGATTTAGCAGAAATGGTCACGTTAAATCTATTTCTGGAAAAACTCTTTTGATCTTTTTTTTTTTTTGGTAGGTTGTGTGGAGGATGGTGTCATGCTGTTAAAGATCAGAGCAGGTTCAGATCTCCCGGGTCCAAACTGATCTGAGCGTTTACCTCGACAACAACTCTCCTTAGGAGAAAACAAAAAACAAAAACATAAAGCGCAGACATCCACTGCAGTATATCTTCCAGTATTTTTCCTCTTACCGTTTATAGAGAAGATAAACAAACAAAAACATGTGGAGTAAACCACTGAAATATCAGTCTGAAAGGGCAATCGTTTAAAAAAGGAATTGCGAGTGGATGGCAACAACAAGTAGAGTGCATGCAAGTCTCCTCACACAAGTCCACTGAAGCGCCTCATATTTACTTACAGCAAAAAGTGCTTTAACATTCACCACCGGGTGACAAGTCAGCTGTGAAAGCACAACAGTGGTACATTAAACCGGCAACCCAGATACCGCCCCACCAACAGACCGTCGTAACTATTTAATGTGGGCCGCGGCACAAACAACACCCCCTCCCTCTCGAATGAGCATGGAATAAATAAAGGTTTCTCAAATCTGGGCTCGCTTGTTTCCTCCCATGCTGTGCAGAAGTGGTTGTAAATATTGAGCCAACGTGGCGTCAAGTGGGGAAAGAAGAACAGCAGCTGAGATGAAAGACCGAAAAGTTCATCATGGGAGTAATTTACCCCTCTCTCCTTTTTCTTATCACATTAACAAAGCCCTCCAGCATTTAATCTTTTTAGTCTGGCTTCATCAAATGCCTCCTCCTTGTTGTCTACGTTCTTCTCCACTTCCTTTCAAGTGCCTTTATTGTATTTTTAAGTCTCCATTTGTGTGTTGTAAAGATGAAAAAAGAATCAAACATTTATAGGAAATTCTGCTTCATTTACTTGTAAATCTGTTTTCACTGATGAACACTGGAGAATTTCAGGAATATTTATGGACAAATCGGTTCAGACGTTCTCCACAGTCGCTGTTTGCACACGGTTCTCACACCGGGAGTTATCTGACTGTGGGTGGATGCTTGCAGAGTGAAGGGGTTGGTTCAGAGGCAGCATCTGTCTGGAGCTGGCTGGAAGTAGGGCACGGTGTGAGAATCATAGTGAGGAAATTACAACATGGTTCTTATTTTACATGTACAGCTGACTCACCTGTATCAGTCCAAAGCATGTTCACATGTAAAGCAACATGAAGCAGCTTTGTTACCTGCAGGCTTCGCCGTTTCAAGAAATCTCAGATTGTTTTCTTAACATTTTTTTAAAGTCTATTTTTCCATCTCATCCACAGTTCTTCATTGTACTGCTGATAATTCTCCTGGCAGAGCTGATATTACTCATCCTTTTCTTTGTGTACTCGGATAAGGTAAGTTTCATTCCTTCTTAGTGTTATGTCTGTATTGCATGTTTTAAAGGGTGGTTTTTTCAGCCACTGCAGTGTGTTCTGTGTAAAAGTAAAATTTATTATCATACTTGGCATTAATACCTTCCTGGGTTGTTTTAGTTCATCAGGACTGATGTGCTAACGGCTAGTCTGAGCTCATTTAGGCACATTCTAAATTTGTTGCTGCTGTCTTCAAATGGCTCCACATCAGTTTAAGGGACCTTGTTTTATTAAAAAACTGTTTTCTACAGTAAATTAATCAATAAATGGTATAAAGTCTCAGTCGTGTTGGAAGGAAGCTTGTATTAAAACGATTTCATTCTTAGTTTTTCTCCTTCCAAAAATACTAAAGAGGGATGTAATCATCATTGCAAGGTTGCCAATTCTGCACCGAGCTGACGCAGCAGCACTGGTTTTAGTAATTCAACACCAGCAGGCAAAAAGCTCTGGAGTTATTTAAAAAAAACAGTAAACAGGAGCGACCCAGAAGTTATTTGTTGTACCCCATGTAATGATTTAAATTACATGTTATTTAATAAGCCATAAGGCATAGGATTCCATAGAAAATATGAAATCCACCTTATGGATCTGTGAGGTTATTTTAAACCAGAAGATTGTAACTTTTTAATGCAGGGATAACCGCTTCGTATTCACTCAGAGACAACAGAAGAGAGTCAAGTTTAAAAGTTAAACAATTTATTACTAAACAAATTAAACTAGACTAACTTTAAACACTACATGTATGGTGTAACTAAGGTGGATGAGACGGTGAATGGGGTGAGGTGTAATGTTGCTCAGAACCAGCAAATCTGAAGAAGCGATTAGTTCTGATGGGAACTGAAGGTGATGTCTTCGCTCTAAGCTTTGGTTAGGAGATTCATAAACACATTCAACGCCATTTTGTCGGCCTACATACCCTGAGCGGAAGTCCCCGCTAGATCAGGAATGTCGAGGTCCAGCTTGACCTTTTCTGGAACCGAAGCCGGTAGGAAAAGCAGCGGTTGCCGACCAGGCCAGTCTGTGAGATACTCCCGGGTCACGACAATTTTGTTGGCGTCTGGTGAGACCCAAACCTGGGTCGTGGTGGTTCAGCTTTTATTCTGAAAGGAACCGTTGCTTGGTTGGTAAAATGCAACAGATTTATCCAGCTTGTCGTTGGTTCTTTCGGTTGAAGAGGAAAGTTACGGATTGGCCACTCCGACAACTTCTCTAGAACGCTTTGAACTGGCGTTAGAGATGACGTGGGCATAGTTTTATACTTCGGATGTTTTGGTTTATGGTCGAATGAAAAGATGACAGATTTTACCAAACACCACCAAAACCACGCCTCCGTCAGATCTGGCAGATTCTGATTGGATCAGTAAAACAATGTGTCATGTCTTAACGCTATGTGAGATCAGTCCTAGTGGAACATTTAACGTCATATTACTTATTATATTCTATAGGATTATAATAAAGTAATTAATATTTTGATTTCACAGATTGGTCACATCTTATTTATTGACTAACACTTGACTGGATTAGTTTGTTAAAACAGAGTTCTTTGATTAATTAAAAGAAAAGAGTCCATTCTTCATTCTTCTGTTGAGCTGAAAAGAAGCAGGTTAGAAGGAATGCATGAGGCCTTGAGGCCATGTCTCATGCAGACTAGTTCTGTGCAGAGGAGAGGGGGAAACAGTCATTTCATTCCGTTACACCTAAGAAGCCACAGCATCCTTTAGTTTTACTTTCATATCGAGTGAAGCAGGCTAGAGGCAAACACTGAGCTAACAATGCTAACAGGGAATTAAAAGCAAATAGTCTACTCTAAAATATTTCAAGCTACTTTTTCAATCACCAACAACAAATGTCCAAAAAAATTCTCTTCAACACCACGCCACATTCTGTTTGTGAGACAATAGTGCAGCGCCAAAGTAAACCGAGTTCAAATGGCCCATTTGGTGAACTGGGAAGTCGATACTAGACACGAATATGATAAACGCATTCATTTTCCAGTTGCTTGCATGGGTCAGAGTTTCCTTCTGCAGGTATATTTAGTTGTTTCTAAAACAGGAGCTTGAATGTCTTCATTCTACTCTTAACGCAGAGGTCAAAGGTTAGGCCTGAAAATGCAGCCCAGTCTTCACCAGTTGGCCTCCTGTAATTAGTCAGGCACATTTCCCATGACCTCTGTGGGGTCAAGTCAGGTGACTGTCTGTGGGTATGACAACAGATGAGGATATATAAAGCTGTGGTTATTATAGAGACACCTTTGCTCGCCACTATGTCTGTTTTAATCACCCCACAAATGTTTCCTCCTGAAGATAGTCCTTCGCCGCACGGCCCACGATGACTTCTAGTTGCTTTCAAGGACACGATGTTGGTAGATTTTTTTTTTTTAAGTTTCCGTGTCACGCAGCCCCGGAGACATCGGCTAATTCCCTGCATTTGTTCAGAGGTTATTGCTCAAACTTCCACTCTCAAGCAGATAAAAGAATTCATTTAGCAGCCAATCCATCCTCCGATTCAGATCAGGTCTCACAGGCACGCCAAGTCTGAGTAAACATGTTTGATGCTTTATCATCCAAATATTACTGACTTGTCTTCGGGGGAGTAAAGGGGGTGGGGAATGATGAGGAAACCGAAATCCCTCTGAGGGGATCTAAATGTAGATTCTCCTAACTTCAGGCTTGTACCTGTAAAATCAGAAAAAGATAGCAGAGCAGAAGTCAAAAGAGTCTTCATTAATAAAGGATTTAGTGTTGCTTTGGGACAACGTTCTCTATTACAAGTTCTGGTGAATATCCACCATGCTTTGTATTTGTCACATCTTGCAAAGTGGCTGTGTGTTGGTACCTAATGGGATGTGAAGCTGCCAAAATGTGGATTTTCCTTTCAGGTCCTCAAATGTCACTGAAAAGCAAAGTCATTACTGCAAATTATATGTTTTTTTCAGAAATGGCATTCTGTAGACAGCTCGCAAACAAATTCAAGGAGATTGTTACTCAGACGAAATAACATGTTCAAGATTGACAGGGTTGTTAGGGTGTCAGTATCAGGATGAAGGACAAATGGTGCGCACTGCACGAGAAACAGCTTTTTGTCTTCTCCTCTCCTCAATTTCCTTATCTTAAGAGGGATTTTGTATGCTGTGCGAGGCTCACTTCGTGTGCTGCTGCAGGCTGTGATCAGAGGAATTGCTAATTCACTTTCCCTATTTGATCCTATAATCACAGGGCATTTATTAACTAGTTTGGAAGATGTAAACTCGTTGGCAGCTCTTAAACATGTATCAGCACGCCCGCAAAACATAAATGTTGCTCTGTCAAATAGGTCATGCTCAAGTCACGACTGATGTGCAAACCGTGATCCTTCTCAAGCTGATGACCAGATGTGGGGAAAAAGACCAACTTGCTGTGTCGGATTTATCAAAAGGGGCGTGTTCTCCCGTCGCAGCCTTTATTCAGTCACTCGCTGCATCTTCACTCATAAAAGCTGCAGCGTTTTGTTCTAAATGGAGAAATTCTGTCTCATCGTTAAGCCGGCAGTCTTGCCTCCAGGTATGCATGGGTACCACTTTCTTCTTTGCACAAGCCTCAGTGATGTTAAGCTTTCTGATTAAATGCCATGTAGAGGCGCGTACTATAATAAAGGCCGACCCTGCAGTTAGCAAGCAGCTGACTACAGCAGATGGCTGGGCCACAAACCAGATTAGAGCCATCCGTCTTAAACACCGCGACCTCATTGCGCCTCCGTCGACCCAGCACGCCCAGCCGAACGCCAGAGAAGGTTTATTAGCTCAGAGTGAGAAGGAAGAGCCCCACAAGCCGAGATGCGCAGCGAGGAAATCGCATGCAGGGGAACCAAAAAGTGGGTGAAAATAAGTGAAATGAAAACATGAATGAAACGGTGCATCACAGGGAATGCTGAGGAGGTGAATGAAAAGCTTCGGGCAAACTGGGCGTATGGAAAGAGATGTCGTCAGAAAATAATATAGAAAAAGTCAAGACAGAAGCAGTGATGTCATGGATGAAGGTTGGAGCAGCGTTACGAGAAAAACAAATGTCAAATTCATCTCTAACAACACCACAAAGCAGGCAGGAACATCTGTGTGCAGCTGGATATAGTCCAACCAGACGTGTTTGGTTGTTGCATTATTTTTGCCAGACCAATTATGGAGCAGGAACAGGATTTTCTCCGTGGATCTGTCAAGTGCTCCGGCCTCAGGCTACTCAGAGCAACGGAGGGAATTAAGTGTCCTGGTTAATGATGTCCTACTGGGGGACCCCTGACTCTGATGCTATTTGTCTCCACATCATTTATTACACTTTCCGGCCTTTCAAGACTCTTGCCCGGCGCTGTGCAGTGAGAGCAGAGCTGAAATAACGTTGACTCCTTTAATTCTCCGGAGTGGAAGGATTTGACAGTTCGTGTCTATCCTGTGATCCAATAATGATCCAGGAAGGGAGGATATGAGAATTTCTGAAAGTGGTGGAAAAAAGAAACTAAATTGTGTTTGTTGATATGAGTCAGTCCCAAACCTGTGTGCGGCAGATGTTAAAGGATGGGGCGTAATTGCCCCGTTTCAAGTTTGGATACGAGTTAACGCACCTATAGCGGGCGGAAAACAAGCCAACAATCCTTTCGTGATATGACAGCACAGGAACAAAGCTTTTTCATGTTTGTTGAATGCGAGTTTCTTTTTGATTGTGCCACTCTGAATGCATCCAATTTCAAGGGTTATAAACGAGGCAACCGAATAAAAACCTCCCCTTTTATGCTAGAGAATTGGTGTCAGCATCATGTTTTACTCTGCATGATTTATGGAGCTGCTTTTAATGAGAAATTGCTATTTTTTCATGATGAAAAGTCATGTACCATAATTTACCCAATGAGGTTTTACCACGCAAGCATCATTACATTTAGTTTCAGGCATGGCTGAAAAATACTTACTATGTAACGGTGTTTATTTGAGCAAAAATTGTAGAAATAATTACATCAAA